TAATAATTCACATTCTGGCTTAAACAAAATAAAAACGAAAATAAATTATATAAAAATTCCAAATTACATAGTCGGTGTTCGATATTAAAAAAAAACTTTGTTTCATTAATTTAATTTGTAAAGGTGTCATTTGTATTCAAAATCTTCTGTGTTCATTTAAACCATTTGCTGATTGTTGAGATCCAGTTGGAGATAAATGTCTAATAGAAAGATTTTTTTGTGATTGACATTTTGATTTAAAATGTTCATTATCATTACTTGATTGATCAGTTGAATCATTCGATTCATTAGTAAAATATTCATTCTCAGATATTTCAGTTTTAACTGATGTTTTAGATAAATCAAGTGGAAATTCATCATTTAATTGAAATGATGATGGAAATAAATCAAAGTCAATTCAATCTTTTCTTTTATATAAATCATTATGTTCTGTTCCCTAGACTGAAAGGCTAGGGTCTAGAAACCATAATTCACGTGTGTCTGTATGTCCGTCTGTCTGTCTGTCTGTCTGTAACAAAGGGGTTGGCACAAATGACCATTTCTATGGTACAAATGACCATTTTTATGGCACAAACGACCATTTTTATGGCACAAATGACCATTCCTGTGGCACAAAAGACCCTTTCTGTGGTACAAATGACCATTTTTATAGCACAAATGACCATTTCTATGGCACAAACAACCATTTTTATGGTAGAAATGACCATTTCTATGGCACAAATGACCATTTTTATGGCACAAATGACCATTTCTATGGCACAAAATGAACATTTTTATGGCACAAACGACCATTTCTGTGCCGCAAATGATCATTTTTATGGCACAAACGACCATTTCTGTGCCGCAAATGATCATTTCTATGGCACAAATGACCATTTCTATGGCACAAATGACCATTTCTATGGCACAAATGACCATTTTTATGGCGCAAATGACTATTTCTATGGCATAAATGACCATTTCTATGGCACAAATGACCATTTCTATGGCACAAATGACCATTTCCATGGCACAAATGACCATTTCTATGGCACAAACGATTATTTCTATGGCACAAATGACCATTTCTGTGCCACAAATGACCAATTCTATGACGCAAATGACCATTTCTATGGCACAAACGACCATTTTTATGGCAGAAATGACCATTTCTATGGCACAAATGACCATTTTTATGGCACAAACGACCACTTTTATGGCGCAAATCACCATTTTCGTGGCACAAATGAGCATTCTTGTGATACAAAGTGCTATAATCGTGGTACAAGTGACGTTGTCAAGGTACAAAATAGCATAGTCGTGGTACAAGTAACCATTGTCATGGTAGAAAGTACCATTAGTCGCGGCAGACGTTGCTGTTGTCATGGTACAAAGTACCAGAGCCGTGGTACAAGTAAGCATATTGATGGTAGAAAATACCCAAGTCATGGTACAAGTGACGATTATGATGCTGCAAAGTATGATTTTCATGGTTCAATTGACCGTTGTCATGGTACAAATGACCATTTTTATGGTGCAAGTGACTGTTGTGATAATACAAAGTACCATAATCGTGGTACAAGTGACTGTTGCTATAGTGCAAAGTATCGTGAATCGTGGTAAAACTGACCGTTTATTTTGGCATAATTGACCATTCTTGTGGCTCAACTCAGTTTATACGGTGCAATCAATCATTTCTATGGCACAGTTGATCATTCTTATCTGCGGAATGAACGTGTCTGTGTCACCACTAGCTAGATCCGTATTAGAAATGACCAGTGCTATGGAATAAATAACCATTGCTAGTCCTTAGAATCAATTAACTCATATGCTTTATCATATACATTGGCATCTTGCAATATTTTATGTCAACTGTTTGAATATATCTTTAGTATGTAATATACAACATTTTGCAGATATCAATGATCTGTCCTAAACTCATCATTGAACAGAATTCATTTTTATTAAAAACCATAAGGACATCTGTGTCATCATTCTGTCAGTCTAGGGCCCAGTGAATCGACTTTCAATGTCGATGAACCTCACTTGTTCATAAAAGATTTTCAAATGTTGATTTTAATTCAAATGTTAATGAACAATGAAGACGTATTTTATTAATAAGTGAACCATTTAGATTTGAATTTGGATCAAATTTGATATCACCTTTTCTTTCTCTAGCTCGAGTATGTTGAAACCAAACGTGTACAACAC